CTTGGGGCCTAGCGGCCCAATGGCAGCTGGAGAGGAAGTTAAGCAGCAGGAGCCTCCAGTCCCCTCTTGGTGTTCCTTTTCCAAAACTGAGATATAATTCATATACCATGAAACTCAGCCTTTGAGTGTGCCGAGGTCTCTCAGCTTCACTCACAGGGTTGTACAGTCGTCATGGCAGTCTCGTTCTAGAACATTTTAACCACTCGTTAGCTGCGGTCCCTTTGCCTTCTTCCTTCAATATCTTAGCAACTTCTAATCTACTTCCTGGCTTTGGATTTGCCAGTTCTGAATCTCTCAAGGAAAGGAGTCATCTAGTGCAGTGGCTCTCAACCTTCCTAACACTGTCTCTTTAATACAGTTCCTCACGTTGTGGAGACCCAACTGTAAAATCATTTTTATTGCTACTTCATAACTAATTTTGTTACTGTTATGAATTATAATGTAAATATCTGTGTTTTCCAATGTTTTTAGGTGACTCTTGTGAAAGGCATTGTGAACCGCTGATCTAGTATGAGTCCCGCTTTGATTAGCTGTTTTCACTTAGCATCATGCTTTCAGGGCTGGTCTGTATCATAGTATATATCCATGCATCAGTCCTGTTTATGGCGAAACAGTATTCCATTTTTTTTTATTTCGAGACAGGGTTTCTCTGTGTAGTCCTGGCCATCCTGGAACTCACTTTGTAGACTAGGCTGGCCTCAGACTCCCTGAGTTCTCCCTGCTTCTGCCTCCTGAGTGCTGGGATTAAAGGTGTGTGCCACCACCACCTGGCAACAATATTGCATTTGGTCCATCACTCATTGACTGGGACATTTGGGTCATTTTTACCTTTTGCTTCTGTAACTCATGTTTTACATCCCTTTTTGTTTCGTTTTCTTGAGAAGCTAGTCAAAGCATACAGCTGTCTGTATTCCTCTAGTTCAGCTAATTTGGAAAGTGAGTGTAAGTGCCTATGGGGTGGCTGGGGAGCTGGGGTGGTGGGAGATGAAGGTTTGTGAGAACTTTGCCAGGGGGAGGCCTTGCACCTGGCCCCAGGCCATCTGTTACTGGGTTGGTATTTTCTTGCTGTTGATTATTAACCAGTGGGTGGTTATGATCCTGAGAGCAAATCTCCAGGGGCAAAGACTGTTGCTTTATTTGAGACGATAGAAATGCTTTTCAACACATTTAAACAGCCTGGATCCTTGCTTCCCTTTCTCCACTTGGAGATCAGATCCCCATTTTGTCTTATTGATTGATGGATGTCTTAGGATTTCTATGAAATGCACTCCAGTGCTCACACCTCTTTGTGTGTGCGTGTGCACTAGTGTGCCCACATGCAACTGAGTGCAGGTGGAAGTCAGAAGACAATTTGTGGGAGTCAAGTCTTTCCTTCTACCATGGGGGGCTTGGAGCTTGAACCCAGGTCATCAGACTTTTGTGGCTTTGCCCTCTGAGCCATCTTGCTGGTCCCAGATCACCATTTTGTGAATCGTATTGTCACTACCCTAGTCTAAATTTGTACAGAACTTCGTATTTTTTTTTTCGAGACAGGGTTTCTCTGTATTGTTTTGGAGGCTATCGGTCCAGCCCAGCCTCGAACTCACAGAGATCCGCCTGCCTCTGCCTCCCGAGTGCTGGGATTAAAGGCGTGCGCCACCACCGCCCGGCTAGAACTTCGTATTTTTATCCCACAACACTGCTTTTACTTCCTCAGAATGTCTCTACTCCCATGCTTGCAGTCGAAGGCACTGAGTCGGAGAGCTGAGGTCATGTGACAGAGTAGCAGGAAGAACCAAGCTTGAACCCAGGAGTCCCTTGATTCTAACTGTAGGACTCTGCATAGCCATGTGCAAAAGACCAAATGTTTTTTCAAGAGGCCCGGTCACAGCCTTGTGAAAAAGGTAGAGACATGGACCCTGGATGCTGAAATGCCACCTTAGGGACCTCCCACTTTACCCAGGTGGGTCCACTTCTGCTCTAGGACTGTCTGTTCTTCTCTGCCTAGGCTGGGTTTTGCCACCCTGCGCCCGCCCCTCTGCCCTGGGATCTCCTAATGCTTCTAGCAGCCGATCTCAGAGTGGAGAGCTTTAGTGCATTTGGCTGTGCCGCTGCCGTGGAGACGCTGAGGGAAGTGCCTCCAGAAAGCCCTGGGTGACCTCCTTCCCTCTGCCTTCTCTCCCTCTTCCTCTTCCCTTCTCTCCACCACCTGTCCCCATCAGCACCTTCCCTCATGTGTTTCCAAGAGCCCCTGGATAAATGTGGGGCCCTGTGTGCTTACAGCAAATGTTCATGTTTGTCTGGGTCAGCGGGAGGGGCAGTTTTCAGTCTCAGAATCATGACTCTGTGGGCCACAAGAAACTTGTTACTTCTGCTAATGATTAACCTTTGCTTATGACAAATGAGAGTGGCCAAGGCTGTCCCTGGATAGAATCACATCAGTTTCACCTACTCGTGGGCGATGTCTTTGCTGAGTGAGAGAGAAAGAGCTGCATTGCACGTGTGCCTCTCGCCTTATCTTATCTTTGTGCCAGCTGGTGGCTAGGTCTGGCCTGGGGGTGGCAGTCGCTCACGTGTAAATGTCATTGTCATGAGGGCTGGGTCAGGACAAGGTCAGCCTCAGCTGATCAGAGTAAGGGGTGGGGTTGTGGTAGGAATTTCACCTTCTTCATTCTGGTCTTTCGGTCGCAAGGGCAAGGGTAGAGGTGAGAACTTGGTGGTGTTATTACTTTCCCAGGGCTGCTCTTAGCACTGCTAGAACTGGCTGGAGGCAGCAGACATCTCTCAGTTCTGGAAGTTGGGACTCCAAGAAGATGTCAGTAGAGGCACACTTGCTTGACCGTGGGGAAGTCCCCCTGTCTCTTCTAGTTCCTGGTGGTTGGTGCAGTCCTTAGCGTTCCTCCACCTGCAGCCACATCGCTCTGCCGTCTAAGTCCATCATGCCATGGTGGTGACGTGGGGCTGTAACCCTACAGTTGCCTTCTCCTCTTACGTGGGCGCTGGGTACTGTTGTCACATAAGGCCCCCATTCATAGGTGCTGCAGGTTGAGAGGTCAACATACCCTTTGGTGAGGGGGGGCAGTTTAACTGACACTAGACAGTTAGCTCTTAAATTGGAGGAAGGGATGGAGCCAAGGATGAGCCAAGAGGGATGGTGAGTGTGCCTCCATTACAGGTGTACTTGAAGTCATCTATGTACCAAGGCATGTCTGGAAGTTCTCAGAGCAGTCTGTGTTCTCTCATGGGGGATTTGCCTCTCCTCCATTCCTTGCCATCCTCCCAGCTCCCAAGGGAGTTGCCCTTATCTCTGTCTTGGGGTACTTAGTATGATATTTCTCACCCTTGATTAACCTTCCTTTCCCTGCCTTTCTGGCTCTCGGGACAGGGCCATCGAGAGAAGCAGTGGCTGCTTGAGAGAGGGATGAGTGGCAGAGGGAGAGGGCCGGGGACAGAGGCTGTGCCCTGCTGGCTGGGCCAGCTTCATTGGGAAGCAGGTGAGGGCAGAGCAGTTGCTGTCGCTGAGGTGATACGTGGAAAGCGAGACTGGTACCTGTGTTGAGAGGCAGTCAGAGCTCTTGCATATGTGTGCGTGCATGCGCGGGCACATGCATAGCAGAATCTTGTCCTCTCTGGTCCTTGGGCCAATAACAGTCTGGACCAGGAGGGGGGAGACCTCTTCCACTTAAGTCCTGTTACCAAGGATGCAGGCAGATGGAGGAGAGAAAGGGAGCTGGCCAGGGTTGAGTTTAGTGGAGTCATGTGGATCCTGAGCCAAGCCAGATGTTCACCAGCCTCCCTGTCTGGCTGATTAGAGGACAGAGAGGTTGGCTGACTGCAAGTGAAGCAAGGGGCTGTGATAGACAGTGTGACCCTGTCCCCAGCCAGGTTTCTCAAGAAGTGTTAGACTGCCCTGGCCTGTGGTCTTGGGGAGCCAGTGTGAGACTCTGTCTTGGCTCCAGGACTGGAATTTCTCTGGGAAGTTGGGGAATATGATTCTAGGGAGTGTTGTTTTCCTTCACGAAGCAGCCTGGATTGGGGCTGTCACTATTCCTGGCAGGATAAGAACTGGGAAGAGGTTCAGAGTGTTCTCTCTAATGGGTAATTGTGGGTCTCGGTCATTTAACACAGACACGGCTGCCTGTTGGGTGCTTCAGGGTGCTTCTTGAGAAGCTAGGGGCTTTAATGGCTCCGTTGGGATCTCAGGATTATTGTCTTGCCTTTCCATTCCTCCCTGCCAGGGCACATCAGAGTCCCTGGCTCACAGGGGGAGCCCCCACCTCTGCCCAGATGGCCCTGTTGTGTAACTCGCTGTGGAGGTTTCTCTCAACCTAAGCAGTCTGCCTGGTGATGGGACAGCAAACAAGCTCTCTCTGGTCACCAGCAAGGGCCAGATGGGAAGTGGGGAGTGTGTGAGAGCAGCGTTTCCATGGTGACACAACTCTGTTTAGCTGCCTCAAACCTGGTCCTACCCCACATGGACTAAAGTAAGTTTTACCTGCAGCCATCACTGTCCTCCCAAGGTTGGGTCTATGGTCAGGGCGTGTGTGTGCATGCATGTGTATGTGCGCAGGTGTGTGTGTGTGTGTGTGTGCGCGTGTGTATGTATGTATGTGTTTGTGAGCACATTTCCAAATGGACACAGGCATCCATGGGAAAATGAATTTTCCAGGATGATCCCTTTCCCCGGCTCCCTCTGACTCTAGTTCCGTCCTGTGTCTTTTAGAAGTGGCAGTTCTGAGACTTTGTGTACCTAGGAACAATGTGGGAAGCTGTGTAAAGCAGATTCTTGGAGTCTATCCTTGGAGATTCTGGCATGCACCTGAGGACATGTCCTGATGCCCAGGGCCTGCCCTTGCCACAGTACTGCTTTTGATGTTAGTACATCCCAGAGAAGAGATGCAGTCAACTTCACTTTTCTGTATCGTTCGCTATGTCTTCAGGCTTAGCCACTCTTAGATTGCAGAGGGAAGGCTCAAGACGGCCCTTGCTCACAGCTTCTGTGTCCTTTGGTCTCTTTGCAGGAAGCAGGAGCTGGCCAACAGCTCGGATGTGACCCTCCCAGATCGGCCACTGTCCCCTCCTCTCACTGCACCCCCAACCATGAAGGTAAGAGGCTCAAGTCCGGAAGTGGGAGGGAGGGGATGCCTAGGAACATCAGGTGGCCTTGCTGTTGTTTTAGCGCCATGGCCAGTGTGGGCCGTGGAGGGCCCTCCATGGGGAGACAGTGTCCTGTTAGCTCAGGTGGAGTGGGGGAAGCTGAACTGATGTGCTGTCTGTGTCAAGGGGCTGTGGAAAAACAGACCAGGGCTGCAGTGGGGCTGGCAGGACGCTTGGATTAGTGAGAAGCCACATGGAATGGTGGGTTGGGCACGAGGAGTCACATTGGAGGAAGTAGAGGGGACAGAGTGCAGCTGGATATTAAAGGGGCTGACATCCAAGACAGATGGGGGCTAGATGGGCCCTTGGGGACTTGGACAGCATTTGAATGCTGGTCAGCCCGCCTTTGATAGGCCCCTCTAAGACAACTTTGTTACCTCAGCCTCTGTGGGAAAGTTGTCTGTTGCTTTAGTCTCTATGGGAGAATTGGTCTGAGGCCCTGGTCGGAAGCCTCTTTGGGAGAGAACCCCATCTTTGGTTCCAAACGTAGGACCTGCCCTTCCCAGGAGGGGGCTTTGCCCCCTTCCATACCCTTCTGCTTCCAGCCTCCACCTCCAGCTTCCTGGGGATGACCACGCCAGGCTGAGCGTCAGGGAGGACTGTTGGCTCAGCGGCACCCCCCCAACTCCCACCGTCACACTTCGTTGGCTCAAGACTAAATCCAAGGTCTTCTGCCTCCCATGCCATCTGAAGGGCCCTCAAGGCCTGCTGGTATGCTGGTCCTGAGGCTCTGCTCTGAGATGACTCACAAGAAGTAATTGACATCTCTTTCTACTGCTCAGTGTGCCCCCCTTTTCCCTGACACCCCAAAGACAGCACATAAACTCTACCCCACGGCATATACCTACCTCATACTGAGCAGCATGGCATTCGTGAGACAGTGGTAGCAGAGCCCTAGTTGGCATTCAGAGGTGGGAGGGATGTGGGACAGGGTACATGATGGATGGTACAACTCTTTCCTTGGTGGGGATGCCTGGGCATCCAAAGCCAGGCCACCTCTGTTGGCCTAGTCTGGGATAGTATGTGACCCAACTGCTGGGTGCTTTGTTGGCGTAGATCGACACCAAGGAGGATGTGGCCAATCTCAGTTTCAGCCTTGGTCTGCAGAGTTGGTCGTGGGAAGATTGTCTCTGCTCATGGACACAAAGAGTTTATAGGGAGAATGAGGAAGCCTAGGAGGAGTCAGAGAGTCCTCTTGGCAGGCTCCGCTTGCATGACTGTTTCATTCATTCAACACCGGGTGTTTATTTGAGTATTACATTAGTCAGGGCTCTTGGTTGCAAGCAACAGAAGCACTACTCACTTCAGCTTAGAACTTTCCCAGGCGTGGCCTCATCTGGAGGAGCCTGCCTCTTTCCCTCTCTCTTTCTGTTTTCATTCTTTGCTAAGCCCTGCTTCAGTCATGGCAGGATGGTGACGGCAGCTCTTCTGGGTTGAGTAGCTCTCATGGAAAAAAAGAGTAGCTTTTGCCAGTAGTTCTAAAAGAGTCCCTGGGAGGCAGTTCACTGGCCAGAGAAAGGGAATGTTGTGATTGGACACTGGGGAAACCGAGAGAAGGAAGGAATGGGGTGGCTCCTGGAAGGAAAATTGAAAAATTGAAAGAGGGGAAATGGATAGAGAGTAGGCAGGACCATTGCAAGGCTGCTGAGCCCACAGGCCCAGTGCTGGGCGGGTGCTTAGTGACCCAGGGATGAACAGATACTGAGGACTCTTTTTGCTTGGAGTTCGTAGTCCGCCCAGGGAGCCAGAAGTTGAAAAGGGAAAGACAAGAATGAGGATGGATAATGTTCTCAGGGGAAGCCCCAAATCCTTCAGGGAGGATGAAGGGGCAGGACTTGAGGCGGTCTTGGAGAGGGACAGGTGGGGCTTCTTTAAGGAAATGCTGTTGCAGCTGGGTCCTGAGGAGGACTTACACGAAGGTAGAGTTGGAGTGGCCCTTGCCACTCAAAGTGAGGTAAAGGGGCAGGCCACACACAGTGAGCCTCTCAGGAATGCAGAGAGGACTGCTTCGAGGACTGGAACAGTGTGAAGCAGATGTCCCGGAGGCCGCTGCTGGAGGACAGGGGAAGAGGGTGGGATTTTGCCCGGGGCACCATTGGGGTCATTTGGAAGCAGTTAGAGCTCAGAGTTCTCAGGTGGTAGGTTGGTGAGACAAGGTGATTTGAAGAGAGGGGGCAAGAATGGTCCTGAGGTCTGGAGCAATGGAACTTGGTGCAAGCAGTTTTCTGAGGTGGGGTAGCTCAGCAGGGAGGAGAAGGGCAGGTGGTTCCTGCTGTGTGCACAGGCCTGAGGCAGCTGTCTGAGGAGGGTGTGGAGTGGGAGAGGAGACGTTCTTAGGACAGTGTGGTGGAAGACGCTTTGCACGGACACAGAGGGGCGGGCACTTCACAGAAAGGGGCGGATGGACAGCTGAACCAGTTGCTGGGGCGAGGCCAACTGTGATGTGGATGGCACAGAGGACCGCTGTGCAGAGGGCCTGGCGTTTGCTGGGATATGACTAAGGCCAGTTCTGGAGAGGTGGGGTGACAGCGGATGGCAGTGCCGAGGAGTGAGTGGAGATGCAGAGTGTCAGGGAGTGGAGACAGGGAGACGATAGAGTGTGGACCTGTGGAAAAGAGAGAACCAAGTGACAGAGACCAAGACAGGGAGAAGGGGGGAAGGGAGGGAGAGAGAGGAGAGATGGATATCCGGAATCTGTTGTGCTTTGGCTTTCAGGGGGTTGTGGAGTTGTCAGGGAGGGAGCCTCAGGCAGACTCAGAGCAGACCCTCCACCCTCCTCGGTGAGCTCTATGACTCACAATCAGAAGACATCCCCTGCTTCAGACACCATCTTCTGAAAACTCTTTGAATTCGGCTCAGGAAGTTCCCAGACTCCAAAGGCAGGGTCAGCTAGGAAATGAGGGAGCTGGGCTTGCCCTAAAGGTTCTGTGGATCTTGTATGAAGCTGGTGTCAGGTCTGTTCTATCTGGTCTCTTTGCATCTATCATGGTTTATTCTGTGGCTATGGCTCGACTCTCTGGCTAGGAAATGTCCCCATTCTATGAAGCTGTCTGCTCTTGAGGGATTTAAAACCACAGTGCTCGCAGCACACTGACTTGCTCAGTGCAGATGTCTGTTCGGTGCAGTCCCAAGGCTGCTCTGGCCCATCGTTGCTGCTGCTCTTTGCTGGTTTGTTCATCCTGCCTGGCACTGAGCTCTTGGAGTGACCCTTTCTGGGTCTTTGGGGCCGCTGACCCCTGGCCACGGTGGTTGAGTTGTTGTGGACAGCCTGAGACCTCCAGGTTGGAGGAGTGTGGTCTGGCCCTTTCAGTCTTTAACGTTTTTTTTTAGATTTGTTTACTGTATGTATGTAATGCCTGTGGAGGGAAGAAGAGGGCGCTGACCCCCTTGGAACTGGAGTTACAGACAGTTGTGAGCTACCATGTGGGTGCTGGAAATCGAGCAGTCTTAACCACTGAACCATCTTTACAATCTCCAGCTTAGTCTTATATCTAGATCTTTTCTTGCCTCCCTGTTTTGCTTCCATTTCCAGGGTGGCATTAGACAATCACATTTTTATTTTGACCTTCTTATTCTTTGACACTCTCTCTCTCTCTCTCTCTCTCTCTCTCTCTCTCTCTCTCTCTCTCTCTCTCACACATCTACACACGATGCTTGATTATGCACATTCCCCATTACTTTCTCTTATTTTCACCTTTGCATGCCCACAGAGCCTTTTTTCTTTACAGCAAGCCCCTTCTTACTTTTGTGTTATTTTTTGAGACAAGGTCTCTCACTGGCTGAGAGATTGCCAAGTAAGCCCAGTTGGCCATCCATCCATCCATAGGGTGGGCCCCAGGGTATCTTATCTACCCAGTAGCTTGTCTCTGACTCTCCAGAGTTAAAGTTAAAGATGCCCACTGCCGTACCTGGATTTAACTTTATTTATTTCGATTGTGTGTGTGTGTGTACATGTACCACATCTCAAGTATGGGGATCAGAGAACAACTGTAAGAGTAGACTCTCTCATTCCACCATATGGGTCCCAGGGATTGAATTCAGGTCGTCAGATTTGGCAACAAGCCCCTTTACCTGCTGAGCCATATCTGTTGGCCCCACACCTGGCTTTGTAATGGGTTCTGGGGACTGAACTCAAGTTCTGATGCCTACATGGCAGGTTCTTTACAGACTGAACCATCCCCCCAGTCTCTTAAATCAGTTTTCCGCCACCTGAGCAGGTGTCTGGCAAGAGAAGGGCTTACCCTTAGGAGTGTGACTCAGGTGCAGGTACTCCTTTGGTTGATTAGCTTGGGATAGGGATTGATGCTCCTTTTCCTTTATGGATAGGTAGCGTCCCAGATTGGTCCTCCTCTCTCTCTCTGCAGCCTGTTTTCCCAGGGTATTTCCTACCCCCAATATGAAGCTGAGAAAAAGCTGAGCATATGGGCTGAAACAGGAGCCCAGTTCCCATCCAGAGCCCAAGCTGAGGATGGGCAGGGTAGGCTAGGAGTGGGGTTGGGGACTGCCTGCCTGGGTGTGCATTGGATTGCTGCCAGGCCTTTATTCTTCATGACTTTGGTTTTCAAATCCACAAGGACCACTAGGCATTTGGCAGATCCCCCAGTGTGCCTGGCTTTGTATCGGTCCCTCTGGGGCCACCCAGAAGCATTGGTCCTTGACCCTCCAAGAGTCTCCACAGGAGACCTTAACTTAGCAGAGGAAGCCATATGGTTCAGCATGTGACACGCTCACAGATTAAAAGTGGCTTCTCAGTGGGGAGGAGAGGAGGAGGAGCTGGAGATGAAGGAGATGAAGGCCCTGGGAAACAAGGTTGGGCTGCCCCCTGGGGCTGTAGACTAGTTCTTGCAGCTCTGAGGAGAGGCAGGAATTAGGATTCACCCTCAGGTTCTCTTGAATAATGTCCTAGACATTGGGAATGTCCTAGAAGCATCTCCTAGGGCTTGAGCTGA